TAACGTCGCTAGGGGATAGCAGGTGTATGATATCGACGTCCCAGTTATACTTAAGTTTATAACACGCGGAGAGAATATATTTGAAGCAGCCAATATTTTTGAATAATCAGTACAAACAAAAAGTACGAGACAATGATGGGTTCCCTGTGTTTGTGGAAAAATGCAATCTCATAGCCTATAAAAACAGCAGACGTTAAACTGTTTACCCAACAAAGTTAATTCACTGTTTTCTCGTTCGATCCATAGAACACAGATCCTTTAGGATACACTTATGATTCTTTTTTACTACCAAATGTACTTTCCAGTTCTTTAACTATTTCCTCCTCTCCATGCAGAAGTCTTCGGATTTTCTTGACAGCGTTGTCCTCTAAGAAAGTCGATGTCACCGTACCAGAGTGCTTCCTGAAAGAGTTACTTTCCCCCCAAGACTTTGGCATGGTATAAAGGCGATCATGAGTAAAAATTGAACGCAGATTTATCTGATGGAAGAGCAGAAATTCGTGAAAATCTTCAATGGCATGGGGGCATTCATTCGGGGCTATAGACACTGGTGAACTCTGCTTTCGGGTGTGTTTCAGTGCCGAATCCGTCAATGATAGCTTGTGATGTCGAGTCCTCCTGACAATGGTTTTAACCATTTGTTCAAAGATGAACTGGTCTCCAATTCTGCGTATTCGACCAGTTCTATTTTGGTGCACCTGATTATCTTCCAGGCCTTTCATCTGTAGAATGGTAACATTCGTACCCCCAAACCTAACATCGGCTAACCAGAGTTCGTTCTCGATGTTTACTCCGGCCAAGAACACTGTGAGAAGGTGAAATTTTGCAATCGCACTCTGAAGCTGAAAGAAACACATGTTAATTGTAAACTGCTTACTCAATCGGTCCTTACCAATTTCTAAAATAAACATTTGTCCATTCCAACTATTTTCTGTGATTTTTTTATACTCATTTTGATTGTTTGTTTGACCTCAGGGTAAATGGCTGAATACTAATCCCGGAAGAAGTGGAAAGCTCTGCTATAAACTACATCACCAAAATTTTAGATTGGAAAATCTCTTTCACATAGGTATGATGGAACCCTTTCACTCAAACGAAACGTCCGGTCACTTGAATCTGGCAGCAGACAGTTATATCTCTTACTTAAGTGAAATAATTTTTAGCCCTTCAACTTTTGCCAAAATACCAATTTTTCTTTAGACTCTGAGTTATAGCTTCTTGTTTGTTATCGTAAGTTGTAAATATATCTCAGGCGATCTTAAGGAACATTTACAAAAACCCTTTTGCAGGGTTACTTTATACACCAATTGAAGCTGATAGGTCTTTGTTGTAAAAAATTCAGGAGGTAATCCACTTGTTTCAGAAGCCTTCCCCTTCAGTCATTTAAATTTATGTCAAACAAACATACAGTTTTCAAAAACAACAACAACAACAACAACAACAAACTCAGAAAAAAAACTGAGTTGACCAAAGGTTATCACAAAATTTAATGGAGACTGATTGAGTCTGCAGTTCACAATAACAAACAGATGATAGGAAGGCAGCGTGAGGAAAGGAAGTTTCCTATAATTAAAAATGAATAGAAAGTTTTTTCGATTGTTTTTTAATATCACTTGATAAGCATGTACAATGTTCTTTTGATTTTACATTGAGAGGTATCAAAACTAGTGGCTTATATGGCATAGGTCAAGTGGAACATAACATGAGCCGCTAGTTACACTCTCAGTAAATTCATGCAAAATTACAACAACAATCATTGACCCTGTACGCCCTAACATCAGTATGCATATTCTCCATACTGTTCTGTACACGTTGCCTAAGTTGCTGACAAGGAGAACTTGTTTAACAATCACAAGATTTTTTTTGTTGATGATCATTTCCTTCATTCTTGTGACTTTAATGTGTGACTCAGGGGGGATATCGTGGGGAGAAAAGGTTAACAGACCTCCTGGGGGGGAGGGAGGAGGTTGAAGTAATTTTGAAGGAGATCTCATGGATTCTGACTACACTCAGGCGAGATATTCAAAGTGAAAGTTATTTAGGATGAGTCAGCCAGTCTCGTAGTCTACACATCCTACTACAATCTGCAATGTACTGCAAGTATTCACTGAAACTGAAGGATTATACAAAAATAGGCTGTGCTACGCCAGATACGAAAAACCACTGAAAAACCACTCTTTAAAAGTGGTCAAAAAATATGTGGAAACGTATTCCTCATCTAATACAGCAGCACTATACCCCGAGGAAAGGGTAGCTAAAATAAATCTAGTTACACTACTAATCACACAGAAAATTCAATGAAAGCGGTGATATTTTACAGAGAATTGTAAAACAAAATTACGTTAAATACAAAAAAAAAAAAAAAAA